CTTAAGTATATCTGCCATGTGTTACCATGACAGATTCTCATTCACTTCAGCAGATGAGTGCCAGCCTTACCTAAGCTTTTCCTGGGCTAGCCCTGATATTGTTCTCTACTACCATTAATGAAGGTTAGCGATGCACACCACAATCACAGCCCTAAGACTCCTGAAGTCAAAGTTCAGGCAAGATTTTATTTTTCAGTGTCTTAAAATGTGTTTTTCAGTATGAACTTGTTACCAGACTTTTTATTTCCTTGACAGCAATTGTAGGTTTTAGTCATGTTTCCCTCTTTCCCACGAAGAAGGAGGGTGTCAGAAATATGATGTATAGACATTTGTGGTTGTTTTGCCCTTCTTGCCGTTTTAGCAGGGATTCTAACTGTATTTTCCATGTTATCCTCTACAGCTACCATCTTTCATCTTACAAAGCAGCTTGGGTTTTCAAATCCATTGTAGTCTCCAGTGTCATTTGATAACAACAAAACAGAAGATATTTTCAGAGATGAGGCAGCATTCTGAATAGTTGATCAAGTGTTTCTGTGTATACTGCCTGCCATTAAAATAAGTAGTAGCCATACATAGAAAACATCCAAGCTGCGGTCTGTTAGCACTAAACCATGCAAAATGAAGAATGAGAAACACAAGAGAGGAGAAGATGTCGAAGCCCAGTACTTTCTGACCAGGTTCTTTCAGATGTTCCAAGTGTGGAGGGTGTCATGTTTAACATCAGATTTATGTATTTGGAGATAATCAGTGTTACATGTTAATAGAGTAATACATTCTTACTGTGTTTTCTGTTTGTTTTGTAAGTTACACATAGCAGAATATAGCAATTGCACTACACAGTTCAGACATGATACCATGCTGGGCATCTCTAGTCTTGCTAGGAAGGCATCCTAGCCTTGAAGCCAGCTCAAGCCCACTGCTCTCTTTGAAATTCTTTTGCTAGTTTTCTGGTTTATATATACTATGTTGTACTGGGCCACATTCATATTGTAGCCAAGGAAGGCAGGAAACTAAGAAAAAGATAACATTAATTCTTTAATTTCGCAGAGAAGGATGTGGTTTTAATTGTACCCGTGTAGAATATTTCAGAAAGCCCAGTACCAAAAGAAGTGTTTAAACCACTTTGCAAAATACACATCGTTAAATTATGTCTACAGTATTGTGTAAGATGTTTGTAGAAGCAGGTATGATGGGGAAGAAACTGCAGTCATAAAGGAGGCTGGAAGAGAGGTCATGAGGTTGCTTTTCCTAAGCTTGTGTGCTTTTTTTAATCTCTCAAAACTTGTCTGTACAGTGGTTTGCATTTTTAAAATAGCATGCTATGCACAGTTTGCTATATTAATAGCAATATATGATAATAATTGTTATATATTTAATATATAAGAACCTAGCAGGATAGTATTGGCTGTAAAATGTGGTGTATTTACATTTCAGTAAGCAACCTGCAGTTGTCCTTGCAGAAGATTCAGGAGAAATTGTAGCTTCTAAGATAGGATAGGTGGTTTTTTATTAATACTATGCATCCAGTTTCTTCTCTGAAAGAATTCTTATTTCCTTGGATGATGATGATGGAGAAGCTCATTGGTTGCCTTGTCTGATCCCCTTTGAATCATTACTCTCACATGCATTGACCTTGCTTGTCCTGTTGGACTGTTTTGGTGCATCAGCATCACACAGTGGGTTTTTCCTGGTTGAATGCAATAGTAGCTGTACTGGATCAATATAAAGTTTATGAACAATACAGGGTTTGTCAGAGAACTCTTTTCTCTGTATGAAGCGGTTCTCTGTGGCAGTTGTTGCTTAAAGGTTTAGACTGATGAACAAATCTTTATGGTGTCTGTTAATTTTTACAAACTACTGAGTTTTTGATCTGTTTCATTATCTTGCTTCATTAAGAGGCATCCCACCTTGAACTATGTTATGGATGTTACTGATAGTAACTCTGCTTTATCTATACTGTTTGCTGAGGGGAGTAAAAAAGCAGTATGCCATATGGCTATCTCCATTTTCCCCTCTCGTTTGTCATATCCTGTAGTGGTTCAGTGCTGCAGAGTTACAGTTGTGACTGACATCCTGCCTTCCGGTTGAGATCTTTAAAGGCAGTGTTTCCAAGTTTAATAGTTTGGATCATTAAATTTGAATTCTAAAAGTGACCTTTTTTCCCCAGAATTACATTTTTGTTGACTGCAGCTCTTTGTTCTGATGTTTCCTTGTTTGTGTTACAGCAACATCCAAAGATCTGTGTTCCAGCTCCCACCCTGCTGTGTGCTATACAGACACATGGGGAAGCATGGTCTGCAGGAACGCTCACACCTTAAGGGAAGATGCAGCAATACTTTGTAACACCTTTTTTAAGAAATTGGGGAGGAGAGCTTGGCTCTGCCAGGAATACACAGCTATGCTAGCTGTGTTAACACTGTGTATTACAGGAGTAGCTGGAGGCACCACTTGCATATGACTTACTGCTGTGTGCAGTGGGCACATACATGAAACGGAAGAGTATCCCAAACAGCCCTCCTCTGTGTATAACTTACTGTTGCCTAGTCTGTCCTTTGAGTAATTTTCTCTTTTTTAAAAATTGTTTTATTAGTACTTCAAAATTGGATTGGTCCAATTTATAAAAGGAAAGGATAATTTTGGGTAGTAAAAAATTAAAAAAACTTTCCTTGTAATTAGTAAGTCAGTCCTTTGGTTACTTGGAGAAGAGAGACCTTACATTGAAACGGTGTAACTCTAGTATTGAATACCCTTGCTTGGCAGGAGTTGCCAGGCCAGGCAGCAGCGTTCCTATAAAACTAGACACAATTCATGCTGTTTCTTACCCAGTTTGGGCTGTGCTGGGGGTATGAAGAAGAGTTGAGCTGACTACAGTGTGGAAAGGGGAGAAAGATAAATCCATAGGAAGTTTGCTTCATTAGTTCCATTGTTCAGTGAACAAGTTGTTTTTCATTGAGATTTTTAAATTAACAGTGTCCTCCTGTATTACAGCGCCATGTGTATGGGCATTATTGGTCTGGTATTTAATTAAAACCACAGCTGGTGATCATTTCATTATAGTGTACAAAAGGGAATGATACTTACTTGACTATGTAGCATTGCTTTATTCAATTTGGAGAATTGTTGAGATTTTTTTCATGTATTACTTGAAAGGTGTGGTGAAAGGTGCAAGATCTGATGAACAAACTGGTGAGCTTCACTGCAAGACTTCCCTTCTGATAAGGGAATGAGAGTGGCTTATAAATTCACCAGTTTTCCTGAAAATCAGAAGTTGTGAACAGATTGGTACAATTAGGCTGCCTCTTGTTTCTCCACACTGTAAAACCAGAGCATAGTTTCCTCTGGTAGGAAGAAAGGTCTTCTGCTGAAGGCCAAGAACACTTAAAGATATTCAGGGTGTTTCTGAGTTTATCAAGAGATTTCAGCATACATACATACTTGAAAAAAGCTGTGATGCATATGCTTGTAGCAGGCCTGAATTACTGCTTTTTCACTTGAAAAATGAGGCTGCCTTGAGAATCTTAAATATTCTGCAACATAAAATTGTGTATGTGTATATTTGTACTGAAGTGAGTAACTGCATGTGTAGGACGTTTTTGTAGCTGACTTAATAAAAATGCTTTCGTCTGAACCCACAAATGATGATGCCCAGAGCTTCTAGCATAACTAGTTACACTGCACTACACATCTAAAAATCTTTATAAAATATGTTTTCTGTCTTGAAGCCATAGGTGGCCTTTTCTATAACAATGGGAATACTGTACGTGAAGGAGCTGTTGCCAAATGATGTAGTCTCTGCTGCCATACAGCCACTTTCACACATCAGTACATGAAAACTCCTATGGTTTTGCCTGGCTTCCACTATTGTAAAGGTAAAAGGATATCAGAATAGGACCCATTAGCAAATTGACTGGAAATGGAACAAGAAAAATAACTTAAAAGTGACCTGCCCAATAAAGTGTCAGAGTGAAGGACTGAAACTGGCTGGAGGACTAGGAACAGGGTTTGTGTTTCAGTCTGAGTCCTGGCAGCAGAGCAGTGTTTTCTGTGTTACTTGGTCTGGTGTGAAAGGCCACTTTAGTTTTCTCACTGAGTATAACTTGGAGCTGTTTCTTTACTACTACAAAGGAAGACTTCAGTATTAGTAGCTAGTTTTCCTCCTGGACTTTTTGGTTACAGTAGTCAGTACTGAGTGTTGAATTGTAGCTGATGCCTTCAGTGTAACACTGAATGGGCTATTTAGGGACAGGAAGAGAATGTGAATTAGTCATAAGTATAGGATTCTCTTAAGAATTGTTTTTGATTTCTAAATTCTGTTGCTAACGTAATTTAGATTATGTTAGTTATCCTCCTAGTCTGTTACATATTTCCTTATCCTGTCAGTTAAATGTAGAACATATCTTTCATCAAAAGGGTCTACTGCAGAGAGAAAAACAGTTCAGGTTCTTCATGTGTAGCTTTAGGAGATTACCGTTATTGAAACTCACTGATGTGGGACCGAGAAGAACAACAATTACAGAGCAGTAGCTCAAGGTGGAGTAAGCTTTAGTTGAAAAATAAAACCAAATCCTATGCATGGATTCCCTTCACCAAAGTGATAACCTTTGCATGTCTGAAGGCATCAAAACATGGTACACCTTCTTTTATAATATAAATTTGAGTCCATATTTCATGGGAGGTTTTATAACAGAAGACTCGAGCTAATTCCTATTAAACTGTTAGAACGAATTACACATTTACATCTGAATTATACTTCATTGTATTTATCCTTATAATGAGTTTACTGAATAAGTAATGTGTGTGCTGTTGGGAGAATTCCACATAAAAAGTATTTAGTAGCCTGTGGATTTCTTTTAGAATTTTGTATACTAATGTTCCTACTAACTACTGCAGAAATCCACAGATACTGCAGCTACAATATAATACTGTGTCTTCTTTCAGGTGCTCCTCCTGCTACATTGCTTGTGAATAGGTTGATTTGTTTCTTGTCTTTTGTCTTCTAGCTTCATTTAGCAGCCCTGGCTTCATTAAAGGGAGACATTGTGGAGCTTAATAAACGTCTACAACAAACAGAAAGGGAGCGTGACCTGCTGGAAAAGAAATTGGCAAAAGCACAGGTGAGCAATAGTTCAAGATTCTGAAGATGGTCCTTGGTTTTGTGTTGTCCTTGTTCGTCAGAGAGGAGTGTGGTATGTGGGGAGAGGATAAAATGTCTGAACAATGTCACAAGTGAAAACAGTTTTAAGACTGCAAGAAACACTGGTGCTGCGGGTTTTAAGTTTTATGTGCTGATGACATTCTTCTAAAATTTACATAGAAAGAATTAGATTGGTTTTGTTTTGAAGCCAATATAAACAGCGACTATTCTGAAATATTTTTGAATACAAGAATTGCGGCATACTCCTGGTGGATTAAGTAACTGATTGCAGAGCCTTCCACTCCTGCATCGGATTCAAACACAGCACAAATTAACACTTACCAAAAACTATTGCCAATTGGCAGTGCTTTGGTGGTATGTAAGAAATTATTTGTGACCTCAGTCTAGCTTTTAGTAAGCCAGTTTATATGTATCTGTTGTGGAAAACACAGTAAAGCGGAAAGCCAAGGGATTAGATAAGGCCTGAACTTGAATGCTTTCATAGCTCTTTAAAAAACATAATATATCTTTCCAGATCAAGATAAACGTAGAGAGAGAAATGCAAACAAGGAAAGCCAAACTATTGTTCTTAATATTTCTTCTATAAATGAAATTTTTGTTTTCAGATACCATCACTCTGGCAAATACTTTTTAAGTACTTTACATTTCAGAACTAATTCAAAATACATACTCATCTATACTTGCATAGAAATAGTCAAAGCATTTTGTCCTGTAAAGTATAGCATCTTATTTGTTGCCCAGAGAGGTGTGGTCTCCAACCTTGGAAGTACTGAAGCCACCTGGACCTGGTCTTGAGCAACCTGCTTGACCTTCCTTGAGTTGGGTAAGGGGTTGAATGAATGACCTCCAGAAGTCCCTGTCAACCTCAACCATTCAGTGATTTTGTGAATCTAGAGTCCTCAGTATTCAATGCCTTATGGTAGGAGCTTGTATCTCTGTGTTACTTAAGCCAAATGTAGAAATGTTTAAGTAGTCTATATTTTAAGGCTTTTACTTCAGTCCTCCAAACATATTTTGGCCCTTGTCTGTGTTCCCTGATGTTTTTTCAGCTACCTTTTAAGGTTTTTGGACTTGTAATAGTCTTATTGCAGACCATCAATGCAACATCCAGAAAGAAAAAACACTTTCATGTTTGTATTCCTCTCGATATGTGAACCAGAGCCACACTGGGAGTTAACGTTGTTTATCAGCTATAATCCTGAAAGCCTTTTCTAATTTCTACTGCACTCTGAGGTAGTCCTCTTTGTATGGAAATTTATAAAGAAAAATGGTCATACAGTATTGCTAAACAAGTTGGACAATCCTGACTGGCTTGCTGAACTGTTGTCCTTGAAGTCATCTTTGAAGCCGTATAAGGCAAAACCCTGAGTAAACAACAGTGTTAGCAACATGTGGAACAGGATGCTGCAGCCACAAGGGGGGAGTGCCCTCAGACAAAGTTGCCTCGTGGGCTGCTTAAGATGTGCCAGTGAGGAGTCAGTTGTGGGGCATGAACTGAGCTCAGGGACCAATCACGAGTTGTTATTGCACGCGTGGTTGTCGTATGCACTACATTTATGTTATTTATACTGGCCAGTTGCCTAATAAAGTTGGAACAAGTTGGTAAATCATATTGGTGTGCACACTTGTTACCTGGGCTCTACCCCTATCGCGACACCTCTTTCTGACATAGTTTGGTATGAGACTGCATTTGCCAATCATTAAACAGTTGGATGGATCCACTGTATCCAAATGATCCACATCATCCTGCATGACTACACTGACTTTGTTGTTGTTTATAATTCTGAAGGACCTTGTGTTAACCACAGGTTTTTGCGAGCATTTTAGTTTTATTTCCATATCTTTGTTCAAAAATACATACATCATCTCTCAGCCAGTGAAGAGTGTCTTGTAGGTGCTCCCATACAGTAATGAATCCTCATTGATGAGGGCTGGTACTTAATCCCAATTAAAATGTGCTCTGTTAGCACAAGATTGTTTGCTGTTTTCTTTGATGGGTCACCAATTATACATGTGTATGTAGTGCTCTATTTGTATTGCCAAGGGCTTTTACATGGTCTTGGACTGTGTGCTTGTGAACACAAACGTAGTGATGGCTGCTACCTGAACTGTGGATAACACAACAGCATGCTAGCTAGCTTTCATATTTAAAAACTACTTTTAAATGAACAATTTCTATAAAATTTTAATGTTTTAGCTCTTCTCAAATTTATTTTTTTAAAAAGCCCTCAAGTAGATAGAAATTTTTTTTGGAGGGTATGTATTAAACAAAATACAGCCTTAAGGAATAAGCCATTAAAGAAGCACAACTCATACTCGGTGTGTTGGCTGTATTTAAGTACTGAGGCAGACTCTGGTGAAACCACTTCGCCTTTTTGTCTTTTTCTAGCTGCATCACTTCCAAGTAGATGCTCCACTTAACATAATTTTCTGAACTTTTCCTCCCACTCCACAGATTCATCCAAATTCGTATCATGTATCCTATCACATCATGTCATTTTTTCCTCTTCAAGGAATGCATTTCCAATGCATTTCTTCCTCACTAATATGAATCAGAGGTTCAGAAGGCATGAATTAAATAAGAGGTGTTTGAGGTTCTGCATAACCGTATTCAGATGGTAGTGGGTCAGTATTCAATCCTTATTCTGCATCTGGACTATACTTGGAAAGGTAGCACATGTTTCATTTCAGCTGGCATGATAAATGCTCTCTGGAACAAATAGCTCTTAGTACACATTTTTGATAATACTTTCCTTATTATTTCACGAGGCATGTGAGACACTTTAGAAGAAAGAATTAGTGATTTGCAGAGCAGAGATGATTTGGGGAACCACAATTCAAGTAACAAATGACAAATGATGAAGATAGTTGGATAGCCAGTGCTTAAAATTTTGTAAAAGAATGTAATTGATTACTGGTTGTTGTATTGTGCTCATTTTGAAAACTGCAGTCTGTGCAGACCTGCTGTAGCATTTGCCTACACCCTTCTATTATTTCACTATTTCAGTAAAACAGCTGATCTCCTTGTCTCTGTATTGTACAGTTTGGCAATGGAATGATCTCTTGAATGAAATTTGCTGTAAAGTACTTGTCAACCACAACTAATGCCTTCTTCCAAAAATCTTCCTGTGGTTATGAGAGGAAAAGTAGTGCTTTCTACTAGCTCTGTCTGTCACGGTGTCCTGGCTTTGGTAATGAAAAACAGTGGATGTCTGAAGGGAGAGCAAAAGAAACCCGTATAGAGAGTTGTCCTGTGTAGTCCCACACCTTTCTGCCGACGTCTGTGAGCAGGAGGCTGCATCACTCAATAGTTCTCTATGGTTTTACCTTCCATGGATTTATCGAATCTTCTTCCTAATCCATTTGCATTCTTGGCATTTTCTACATCCTGTGCTGAGTTCTGCAGTTTTATGATAGAACATGGAATTTAATAACATGTTGAATGTTTCAGTAAATATAACAAGAACAGACAATTTACTTACTACATCTTTTTTACCATTTCATCTCCTTTCACAAGGTATTCCTGCTCTCTCATATTTTTGTGCTTATCCTTATAATTTTGGAATGTTATAATAGCTCTAGACACAGGCTAACAGAGACTATGTTGCATCATTCTGGATTCTGTATTGTACAGCAGTAAGTCCCATTAGAGCAGTAATAATTCTTTACCATCTTTTCAATTATTCAGAATATAGGGAGGAGCAACAGAATTTCAGTGTAATAGTAAAACCAATGCTCTGTAGGCATGTAAGAACATGTGACATTCACAGGAAGGTTTCAGTTTCTCATTTAACAAAGTAACTTGAAATAGAAATGCATGGTATTCAGATGAACGTTGAAATTACTAATGCTGTTTTGTGATATCCTTGTCTCACATGGATTAGTCCTGTGTGCTTGTATTCTTCCACTTCAAGTATACACAGAATTATATACTGCCAGACAGTTAATTCTGGCTATTCATGTTTTCGTGGTTGAGGATTTGGAATGATGGGTTTGAGTGTATATTCAACATTAGATTAATGGATTACCACTTTAAAATACGCCACTCCTTTTAATTAAAGTACTGTATTAGTTGTTAGCTTCAGCCTGTTAGACAGGTTTATCATTGTAGCTCATTCAGGTGATGACTTGTATTCTTGGTTCAGTATTTGTCTCTGCAGGGCCTGAGGCACTGTGGGATATCTTAGTGAGCACTGCTATTGGTGCTTCTTTTTTTTTTTTTTGTACTCTGAACACTGCAAATTTAACATAAAGGTTTGCACTGGCAGTGTTTCTTGTGCTAGGAGTTTGTGTATACTAACAGGTAGTAGAGTACTGAGATAATATCCTTGGGTTAAAATTTTTTCATGTCATCCTTCTACCTCATACTCTTCTTGTTCTTGTGGTTGTTTCCCAGCATCAAGAGCTCAGGCAAAGGTGTTTCCAGGCATTGCTAATTTAGACTGTAATTGAAATAACCATTTTAGTCTGTACCAAAAAACAGCCAGACTGAGGGCTGTGCTGGTAACTTCTCTCCTGACCTCAACAGTTTCTCATTTTTTGCAGCCTGTCAGTGGATTATCCTTCAGTTTGCTTTGTCAGAGCATTAGAGCTCTTAATGGTTTTGATCAGAACAAGTATGAGGCTGGAAGAGGGACGAGGAAAAGGGTGTAAGGTATTTATCTTAAAAGTTTGTGTGACTGTCATGCAAATAAATTCCAAGAGCTGCGTGTGTACACCTTGGAAACAAATAGGAACTGGTGGCAGATGATTGTTCTGAGACTCAAAGGACACAGAAACTAAAGACGATGATGAACAGGTTCCGTATCCCAGAAAAATACTTTAGCAATGGGTACCAAAACATGCATTTGTTTTTTTTCACTTTTAAGCTTTGATATGAATGTGCCATAATAAGGAACAGTCCTGTGTGACCAGAAGACTTTTCCATTGCTGCATTTTGGGATTCATACTGAACTATGTTTTCATTGGTTTTGCCTTTTTCAGTTGAGACTTGTAATGGCTGACCAGAACTTACGAGATGTAACTCTGTACCCACCTACAGGGCACAGCAGTCCTTTCCATCATGTTCTGTCTTTCACAGCAGGTTCCTTTCTGCCTTTTCCAGTTACTTTTGCCCAAGATTATCAAGAGCCTTTTAAAAAAATTAAATGTGAAGCTGTTGTCTTATATTGCCAGGCTGGTGGTGTTTCACAGTAAATGATGGTTATCCTGAAAAATGGTGACTGAGAAATGGCTGGAGAAAACAGAAAGCAAGTCCAATAATGGGACTGCAGTCCATTAGCTAGAGTCCATATATGTCAAGATAGACAAATTCAGCTTTTCAGCGCACAGCTTAGAAAGACAAACATTGTTGTGAGATTTTTATTCATTGTCGGAAAATAATTATTGCACACTACATCTGAAACATCCTTTTGGTTTAAAAGAAGAAAAACAGTGCACACAAATGATTGATCTATATTATGCATAAGTAACGTCAGAGGAAATTTAGGTGTGTCAGAGGAAATTTAGGTTTAGAAAGGCCAAGTAAGCAACTCTTTATTGCACTTAAATCTGTTCTAAAGCTTTTGTTAAACATTTTCTCAGTGTTATTTCTGCACTTTGAAAGCCATAGTAGTTCTTCATCCAGATATGATGTTAAGATACAGCAACATGAGAAATAAATTGTGGAATGATCCTACAATAGATGTTATAATATACATGTATAACCATGTCAGTTGCCATTGTGAAGTCTTAAAGGCCAGGTGAACATTATTGGTCTTCCAAAACATGACCATTTGCTCTCCTCTTCCATGTGAAGATGTGGTCTGTCTGTCTCAGTGTAGGTGAAAGTGCTTCTTACTCCAGCTGGAGTAAGAAACTATTTTGTTGTAGTCCGTGGAAGGGTGCTCTCATATCTGGGCTACCTTTCAATGTGCATATTCGTGGAACTTAAAAATACTTAAATAAATCTTATTTAAAATTGAAAGGAAAAATGTTATCAAAGGTCAATAAAAATTTTAGTTTTCAAACAGCCTTTTATGTAGAAGATGTTCTCCAGCTGTGAATGTCAGTGGCCAAAAAATATGAGGGCAAACTATGAAAATTCTGGCATACTTGCAAATTTTTCTGTTTATGATGTAAAGGATTGAGGGAGTTGCCTCTCTATAGAGTGTTTACTTGGTTTGAAAAATTGAGTTTTGGTGCAGTAATTTTGGAGGACCTCACAGATTTCTAAAGGCTACAATTTATAGTTATGGTACTAGGATCTTATTACAGTGCAGGTCTTCAGTTAATGAGTATGGGTTTTATACTGTCAGTTGGCTTGTGAGTTTTCTTTTACTGACAGCGTAGTACATGCTGTTCTGCGGTTGCAAGCAGGCTTGACTTTCCTGCAGGGGGTCAGAAGAAAAATGTTAGAAGTCTTGCTCTTTCCAACCACTATGAAGCATAACTTAAGTCATCATGCGCTGCTGGATTATAGTTGCAGTAAATTGTAATTGTTTACTGTAAGTAGAGTGTTGGCATGAAGAGTAAGCCAGAGAAGCTGGATTTAAATTTCTCTTGGAAACCAAAAGGAGGATTTCGTGATACATATAAAAAACAAGCAGCCATGTAGCCTTTTAATTGTTCAAATAATAAGCATTTTATTGTAGAGAATTAAAATAATAAAAAATATGCTGGCTTAAAGTCTTATAAAAACAAATAGTTATACTGGGGAAGAAGTCATAACCTTGAAGTGTGGTTACTTTTCTTTATAATAATGTGGTTTCTGCCTTAGGACTTGTTCTAATTCAGACCATGTTGGGAGGATCCTTGAAGTTTCATGATGCATCATGAATCTCACAGATCCAAAGATGAGATATTTATAGCTATTTGAGTTGCAGATGGTGATTTTGTTCAAGCAGGAAAGGCAACTTCTGCCCTTTAGAAAAAAAGATAATAATAAAAGTACACTACATAGTCTTTCAGTGCCTAAAACCTTGTAATTGCATACCTTTGTTCACCTGTCAATATTTTGCATCTGTCCTTTTCTCTTGCTAAGACACTGTTGGCTTGAAAAGTAAGAAAACCATTAATGTGCTCTTTTTCCTTCTATCTGATCTCTGTGCAGTCATTCATAAGACACGTTGTTCCTTGCTTCTCTGCTTTAGTGTGAACAATCCCACCTAATGAGAGAACATGAAGATGTGCAGGAGCGAACAACACTACGCTATGAGGAACGAATCACAGAGCTGCACAGTATCATTGCTGAACTAAATAAGAAAATTGATCGACTGCAGGGGACAACAATAAGGTATAGCAACTTCTTTGAAATTCTGGACCAATGCAAGAATGTTGCAAAATATGTTGTGAATTATACTCTAAATACAACTTGATGATGATCTTAAGGTGGTTAGGCTTGTTATGGCTGGTACTGAGTAGCTGCCCTTATTTAAGGCATGTGTTCTGCAGAGAATCATCCCAAGGCTTAAAAGTGCTACGTTCTCTCTGGAAAAGTCACACTTTGCAAAGCCCTAACAAACACTGCAGAGAGCTGCACTGTGCCATCTAAATATTCCTTTAATGTAGCATACATGCTAGGGTACCAGACAAGTGATAGCAGTGGTGGATAAAGGAGCATGTAACCACCCAGCCTGAGTTTGTGCTTTTAACTTTATTTTGTGGTATCCTGTAGATCACTTAAGCCAAATCACTTGTGGTCAGAAATGTGGCTGAAGTGGATTTCAGTAGGTTTTATATCTACTTATATTGGTATTTGTGACAAAACACAGTGGTACACAGTCACATTGTTGCTTGTCCTTGGAACAGCAAAGCTTGAGTTATTAGACTAGGTCATTACTTGTTACTGTGTTAAAATAAACCACATTTGACTACAGGAAAACAGTTCTTTTTCCTCACTTGCTTTTACCCATTATTTTGAACTTAGAGAAGGTTGGACTAGAATGAGGAAGGAGCTGCTTAAAGTTTAGCTTGTAAGGTTGCAACTACTAGAATCTGTGGATTTTCTGGAGAATGTCAAATTAGATTTGACACTCATAGGTAATGTTGACATCGTGCTCTACCCATGTAGCAAACTTTCTGTTTTCTTTGCCTGTTACCTGTAATTTTTTGAGAACTGCTTGATTTGGGGTTTTGTGTAAACATTTCACCTAGCACAAGGCAATGTTACAACTACTAACAACCTTTCATGATAATACTTATATGCAAAAAGAAAAAAGTTTGGTGTACCATAAATAAGAGAAAGTATCATCATGAATATATACCACTATAAAAGCAGTGATAGAATCACATTATGTTAACATTAAGATGAATACTGCCAGCTCTTGAGATCATTGTATCTAGTGATGATCATGGTGAGATTTTTCACATATTTTCTAAACTAGTAGTACTTCTCTGAAAAAAAATCCCTGTGACTCCCTTGTTCATTCATGCTTGATACCTCTGCAGACAACCTTCCCATTCATCTTGTGAATCGCCTTTCTTTTCAGCATGATTCTGGCAGCCCATCCTGCCTTCCTCTCTGGTAAAGCTCTACCAATTCAAAAGACTGGCTGAAAAGCAAAATCTGAGAAGCATGAGAGCTGCATTGCTATTTTTTTCTTTAATGGCAGAACTCTATGAATTTAAGAAAAAAATTACATAGAATCCATAGAAAATGTTTGTTGGGCATCCCTGTGGCAAGCAAAATGCCAGATGGTCTTCAGTTACAAAATACTGGAATCAGGCAGATGCTGTGAATGTTTAACCATGTCCACGAGCAAGTCAGCCATGGCATGCACAGGAAAGCGAGGCATAAGAACCAAGCTCGATGGGAAGCGCATGATGCTTCTCATGAAAAGTGCAGATTTTCTGCGCTTTCAGAGGGTGCAGGCTTCTGAAGGCATGAGAACAATACGCTGCAAGAGGTGCCACACCAGTGTCATGCCCCTCCTCTTTGGTCTTATTGTATGAGAGCTAGGATGCCTCTACTGGTTTTATTTGTTCTGGTTTTCTGAGCAGGAACAAAAAAATTGAGTGGATTTTTTTAAATTTCCTTTGATGATTGGAATAGCTTATTTTCTTTGGCAGACCAATAATTTAATGTCTAGGGAACAGAGGAGTAATATTCCTCCTAAAAATGAAAAGCAGTGGTAGAATTGGAGGGATTCCATAGGATTTGTAAAGACAACTGAAAGAAGAAAAACTGATACTTCTTGCTGTGACTTTCTGTAAATTGGCTCTGGGACCCACTTGCGTCACTCCTGAGAAGCTGTTCCATCCCACAGAGCAAGGGTGGTGTAATTGCTAGGACAGGTGTGACTCACAGCACTCCACCCTTGGCTATGGGGACTGTGTGCACAGGAGCTGGAACACAACAGTCCTGAGAGCAAAGGTTCTGGGGCCCTGCTAGGGCCTTGACATTTATGCTTTCCTCTAAACCAGAACACAGGAGGGATTTCAGTTTTGATTTGACTCTTAGATAGCTTCGAGTAATACTGGGTGGAAGCTTTACTTGTGCTATCAAAAAATTTAGTCTGCCTTTCTAGAAACAGTATTCTTGCATTTACATTAATTCCGTAACAGATAAATATTTCCCCAGAGATTGTTCAGTATTTGCATGTATCCTTTTTAGGCTGTAAAAAATAAACTAACATGTAGCTTGATGTACTGCTGCTGTATGACATTCTTGATGGTTCCTTCCAGAACCCAAAAATATTCTGGAAACAATTGAAAGATGTTTCATGGAGGTTATTTGACTCTCCTCCTTAAGCTGTATTGTCTTTAAATTTGTCGCTCTCTGTTTGAATGTGAGTAGTATCCTCAGAAAATAGGGCAGAAAGTAAGCAGAAAGTGTGTTTGAATCTGAATAAGGTATTGCAACAGTTTGAGGAGTGTTAGCAGGCTGTATAAGCTAGTTAATATTCTCAATTCTGAGAATTTTTCTCTTTTGTTTTTTGGTGTTAATTTTTTTTTCCCCTTGCAGTGTCAGAGGCTTCACACAGCTTGAAGTATAATAGCTTTTGCTCATATGGCTTAGTAATGCCAGCTCTAGAAGAGATCTTAAGTCACACGTCAATGCCTGTGCCAATTCCCAGGTATATCTGATATGCTGATCTTAGTAACAGTAATTTTACAAAAGTATTTTTAGAAGTTTTCAGGGTTGTTCTAGGTTTATTAGCCATTTCTTGGGTGCAAGTAGTTCCGTATGTGAGGCCATATGAAGTTAGCTGCTGCTCTTGTGCTACATTCTTCCAGCATTCTCAAAGGAAAATGAGGTCATCATGGTTGTGGGAGGAAGCCAACATTCATCTACAGTTGTCTCATCTCCCTGCTGCTGCTCTGGACAGCCCAGCTGGTTAGGAAGCCCAGCCTCACCAAAAAAAGTTGAAATACGGTTGTAACTGATTAAGGCTAACAAGATTTTCCTATACTCATATTGTGCAAGCCTCTTGCTTGCCTAGTTATTCATATGTGATAGTGCAGAATTTACCCACTACCAGCTCAAGAATGTAGCAATGTGGGAGAAAAAGACACTAAAGAAGTGGTCTACTAGGATGAGGATGCTTTAGAGACATAAACTTTGCCTCTTTTTTCTTGGAGAATTACAATTGTGTGGCAGTGTCTTACTCTTCTTACCAAATTATTAGGGAGGGAGTGGGAGTAGGTGGCTAGTATTTTTCCTGTGTTTGTTGTAAAACTTAAGTCACAGGCTTTCATCAAACTCTGCAAGACTGCTGGGTAGAAGAGCCTATGGTGATTGTGCAGAGCACATTTTGTCATCTTTTTTTCAAATGAACAGTTTTCACTGAGTGGTGCTAGCTTGGGTCTCCTGTTAGCATGTCAAATGGATGCCAGTGGCCCTGTTACCCCTACTTCTGCTGTTTCAATATGTAGAAGACAATGTTTTTGCATTGCAAAGGTTCTCTGCTCTTTGACAAGGTGTATGCCTACTCCCATTTTCTCTCCGTGTACAACTTAGAAGACAGCAAAGCTGATCAAATGGATCTTCCCAATTGTAGAGTCATATTGTAAATACTCGGACTAAAAGGATACACCCAATAACTCTGAAGCACATAAGGGATTTACAAATTACACAGTAGTGTGCTAGAAGGAAATTATGTCTGTGTTAAAGTAAGTATTCCTGACTTCAGAAGCTTTTAGTATTGCCTAAAATTCATTCAAATTCAGCTCTTCTTTTTCTTAATCATGTCTTTGGCAGGCAAAATCATCTGTGAGTTGGTTGTACAGAAACAACATTGGCCTATGACTCACAGTCTTTCTTCGATGTCAAATTGAGGTTCAGCAAAAGGAAGAAGGAAGAGATCGAATTGCTAAACCAGTGGTCATTTGGGTACATGTATGCAACTCCAAAAATAATAGGCAACTTTAACAATACCAAACAAAAATACGTATTTAATATTGGTGCCTGCTAAGAATTATTTGAAACAGTTGTCAAGAAGCTTGTAACCTGTTGCTGTAAAATCATTTGTTCAGATTTACAGCTTTTAATCTGAAATATAATCAGAAAGTAGGTTGTATTTGAGTTAATGAGGAAGAAGAAGGGTAAATAGACTACCGCATCACAAGAAATAACACATAGCATTTTTAGTCATATTTACATGATGACTTGGAGGTCTCATTCTAGCCTCTGAATGTGTACTAGGTGGAAGCTACTTGGATTCAATTCAAATGGCATTGTGAGTGTGGTAGTGTTGGAGCCATGGGCTGAGGCCAGCTGGAGGAGTTTCCATAAGGCCAAATGCCGGGGGCTGCCCTTGGGCCACAACAACCCCCAGCAGGGCTACAGGCTTGGGGAGGAGTGGCTGGAGAGCTGCCAGTCAGAGAGGGACCTGGGGGTGTTGATTGACAGCCGGCTGAACAGGAGCCAGCAGTGTGCCCAGGGGGCCAAGAAGGCCAATGGCATCCTGGCTTGTGTCAGCAATAGCGTGGCCAGCAGGGACAGGGAAGGGATCTGACCCCTGTACTCGGCACTGCTGAGGCCGCACCTTGATTCCTGTGTTCAGTTTTGGGCCCCTCACTACATAAAGGACATTGAATGACTCGAGCATGTCCAGAGAAGGGCAACGAAGCTGGTGCAGGGTCTGGAGCACAGGTCGTACGGGGAGCGGCTGAGGGAACTGGGGGTGTTTAGTGTGGAGAAGAGGAGGCTGAGGGGAGACCTCATCGCCATCTACAGCTCCCTGAAAGGAGGCTGCAGAGAGCTGGGGATGAGTCTCTTGAACCAAGTAACAAGCAATAGGCCAAGAGGGAATGGCCTCAAACTGCACCAGGGAAGGTTTAGACTGGATATTAGGCAGCATTTCTTTCCAGAAGGGGTTGTTAGGTGTTGGAATGGGCTGCCCAGGGCAGTGGTGGAGTCCCCATCCCTGGAGGTGTTTAAGAGACGGGCTGACATAGCACTGAGGGATCTGGTGTAGTTGGGAACTGTCGGTGTTAGGTTGATGGTTGGACTAGATGATGTTCAAGGCTTTCCAGCCTAGATGATTCTGTGACACCAAGGCAAGCAGGAGTGTCGATCTGCATGAGGATAGGGAGGCTCTACAGAGAGACTTGGATAGATTGGATCCGTGAGCCATTGATAATGGGATGAGCTTCAACAAGATCAAATGCCAGGTCCTGCACTTGGGCCACAACAACCCCCTGCATGGCTACAGGCTTGGGCAGGTGTGGCTGGAGAGCTGTCTGGAAGAGAAGGATCTGGGGGTTTGAACTGACAAGCAGCTGAACATGAGCCAGCAGTGTGCCCAGGTGGCCAAAAAAGCCAACGGCATCTTGGCTTGTGTCAGAAATAGTGTGACCAGCAGAAGTAGGGAGGTGATAGTCCCCCTGTACTCTGCACTGGTGAGGCCACACCTGGAGTATTGTGTCCAGTTTTGGGCACCTCAATACGAGAGAGACATTGAGGTGCTGGAGCGAGCGCAGAGGAGGGCAACAAAGCTGGTGAAGGGCCTGGAGAATAAATCCTATGAGGAGCGACTGAAGGAGCTGGGACTGTTTAGTCTGAGGAAGAGAAGGCTGAGGGGAGACCTCATCACTCTCTACAGCTACCTGAAAGGACATTGTGGAGAGGTTGGTGCTGGTCTCTTCTCACAGGTGATTAGTGACAGAACAAGGGGGAATGGTTTTAAACTGCAACAGGGGAGGTTCAGACTGGACATTAGGAAAAAATTTTCCACAGCAGGAGTGGTCAGAGAGTGGAATAGGCTGCCCAGGGAGGTGGTGGAGTCAACATCCCTGGATGTGTTTAAGGGTCGATAGATGAGATGTTGGGGGATATGGTGTAGGGGAGAACTTTGTAGAGTAGGGCTGATGGTTGGACTCAATGATCCCAAGGGTCTTTTCCAACCTGAATGATTCTGTGATTCTTTGATGCTGAAAGTGCAGCATTTTATTCGCTATTTGATCAAGTTTTTCTTGGTCTCTGTGCAGCAGTTTTCATCCTTGGTCACACTCAAACACGAGGAAAGCAATAAATGCAGATATACCTGTAAAACACAATTTTTTGCTCCCATATTGATGCCAGGCCGATCACAGAATCACAAAACCATCAAGACTGGAAAAGACCTTGATGATCATATAGTCCAGCCATTAACCTAACACTGACGGTTCTCAACTACACCATATCCCGAAGTGCTATGTCAACCCAAAATTCAGTCTGTGTTTAGAACAGCTTGATCTGATCTTAATTGTCTCCAACTCAGGATGACATTCCAGCAACTGGGAACCATCAGAGCCTATAGGAGAACAAATACCTGCTTTCTCCAGCCAGGCCCTAAATGATGGCAGCAACAAGCAAGTTGTAATACTTCCACCTTCTGGGTGGTGTAGCAGCAGTTCAGCTAGCCGTCACGAACTGCTAAGCTCCTTGCATTTCCTGTGCCACCAGAGGATTCTTCTGCCATTTTGGGGAAAGGTTCCTCTTAAAAGAGTACCTTCTGTTATTGCCAACTTCAGTTTTTGAAGGCAACAAAATTTGTGATACATCATTCCCTCAAATTTCTGCTTGTATTTTTAGCCCTCAGTGTGCCCCCTGTGAGACTGGTGGTACAGAGACAGATTGCCCTTGCTGTCACTTCACCAGAAGTGGATTTCTGATCTTTCTGGTCAAGTCTTAGAAGCATTAGTTCATTCAGAAACTGACTCCTGGCTTGAGCCGTCAGAGTGGTGTGAGTCCTGCCATGTGACATACTTCTAAGCTGCCCCAAGATACTGAGGGTTCTTAAATGAAGGAAACAACACTGCTGCTAGCTAGATAAAACTGTGCTGGATTTTAAACAGAAAATCTGTGCAAAAAGAGCCAAAGCAAGGGTGGTCAGAAATTATTCTGTGTATGGCATTGTTTTATCATCAGTACAGCCTCTCATCCATTTGTAGAGGTAATTCAGTTTTTAAAAAATGTAGGACTAATTGTTTCATAAATGTGAAGATTAATTACCTTCAGATCAAAAAAATTGTAACTGAGTGCTTGGTAATTGTTTTTGTCTAAAACTAATTATACTGGTTTGTGCCATAGCTAATAGTAAACGAGTTCATGGAACATTAACTCATGCCTACGTGTCTTCATTACACTGTTTTCATTCCTGCTATTCATGATTTATTTCTCACACTTTCTTAAATGTTTGTTGCATGGTACCTTTCTTTGATCTAAATCTCAATTTTAACCAACTGACCTACATTTTTGTTTAATAGTAGTCACTAAGCACTTCTGATCAAGTCAAAATTTCTTTGCACTGAAGCAAATGTAGGCGCTAGAAGACCATAATAGTTCCTGTAGAAATTACATCTTAGTACCTTGGGGAACCCTGCCTGTCAAGCAAGCTGAAATTCCTTTCCAAGTTAGCCTGGTTCGTAAATTGTCACCTCTGCTACTTTGAGATCAGGCTTTACTTCTGTCATTATTGCCTGTATGTGTGGGCCATTGTCTCTGTTATTTTGCCTGGCAAATCCAGGCACACCTCCAGGCTAAATCCGGCAATATTTCTGTGAGAAACACTCATCACCGTGTAGCATACACAGGGCAGATTTAACACTACATGTGCCCCTCCCAGATGCAGATTGCCAGATAGCTCTTTGCTATTTCTTACTGTTTCCAAATTCAGACAGTTATGTTCTCACACATTCCTGCTGAATCCGCAGCAAAATGAATCTTTACATCTCATTTAGTGTGTAACAGAATGATGGCTGTTTGCTTACTTATCAGAGTGGCTCTGCACCTGAGTAAGCTGGTGGTTTTCTCATGTTTAAAATACATAATGTCAAAACAGTTATTAGAGAAGTAAAAAAAAAATTAGTTCTGGGTCGAATCAGCAAGCGGATCAAAAGAAAAAATGTGTACAAATGTTCTTAAAGCTATTATTCATTTACTTATCTTCTTTTCCAGGGCTTTGAACTCTCTGTGTGGAGACAGGAGGGAAAAGCCCCTAATTTTTTAAGCTCATTAGCTTTGCCTAAAGTATTCTGTGTCAATTATTTTAGTAGAACCAGCTTGACAAATAAGTTAAAACCTAGGTAATTGAGGGGTTTTATTTTCCACTAACTCTAGCAGTTCAGTGCTATACTCATCTGATCTCTTCCTTTTGAGAAAATTAAAAACCTCCCTGTCCTCAAGAATATTTTGATACAGATATGCAGGTATGTGCATGTGCACGCTTGCTTTGAACACAAGCTGATGGCATCCTTGAATTTAGAAAGAAACCAAAATTGTTAATTGCTAATCCACTTTGGGATCAGTGCCACTTGCACTGATCAAGAGTTGTCAGTTGGGGAGTTACTGCAGAGCAGTGTGTGTCCTCCTTCCACACATCCTTGCTTGCATTCAGTTCCACCCATTGTTTCCTTGTATAGTGGTCTGGAGTAATAATGAACTTGGGAATTAAAAGATGGAGACCAGGCACTGACTGCTGCAAGTGAGTGTTACGAGCATAGCACAGTTGCTTTGCAGTAAAGGGTACGAAACCTTCTCTCCTGGCTGGACAAACCATTTGTGTGGATTGTATTCCATGACTCAGCTTATAGGTCCGAAATAAATGTCACAGAGAAACATAATTCCTCAGAAAATTTTACTTCTGCCTTTTTGCTTTCTCCCAGGGAAGAAGATGAGTATTCAGAGCTGCGGTCAGAGCTCAGCCAAAGCCAGCATGAGGTTAACGAAGACTCACGCAGCATGGACCAGAATTCTGTTTCGGTACCAGAGAATCAGTCCACCATGGTCACTGCAGACATGGGTGAGTTGCAATTCTTAGTTGACATGATACTTACTCGCAGCAGAAAGGCACCATAGCCTTTGAAATGCAAATCCCAACATTTGTTGAAGAAATAAATAATTCTAGGCTGTGTTAATCACAACAAATGCTGAACTTCTTCACAACTACAAACTTGTACGTGAAGTAACATCTGTGCCTTGATGTAGAATAGCTATGGAGTCTAAAATGAAATGATTGTTCAGGATTGCTCATGACTTTTGGGAAAGAAGAGGGTGGGGAGAAAGCTATTTACGTATCTTACACACATAAAGTGTAAAGTAGTCTAACTCTAGGAAGGAACTGTAGACAAAGTAAACGTTGGGGAAAAAAGTGTGGGGAATGGAACTGTCTGTCCGGTTGTTTTACAGCCTAATTTTAAAGGGTGTCTGCACTTTCTGAAATCTGAGAGCCTTTTTAAAGTATGGAATAGGGATAGCTTACTGAAATGGATTTGTGCAAGGATAAATCCAACACAAGGTGTTCAAAGACAGTGCAAGAAGGGAGTACCTCCAGACAGTCTGTTACTAATTTTTTTAAATTAAAAACTAAAAGAGCAACCATCTTGCCTTCAGAATTTCATCTGTTTTGTCATTCAAGTACAATTAGTGATCATTTGAAGAATGTCCAAGTATGGAATAATTACTACGTAAAGTTGGCAGTATAAGCATAAGCAGATACTAGGGCTTGAGTATGATAATGTTTTGTTTGGGCACAATTGCTGAGCACCATAGCTGTAGACTAGCAGAAGCCTGGTGTAGTCCTCACTATGACTGATTTCCAGAATTCTCTTCAGAATACTTTTTCTCTTAATTTAATTTTAAAGCCAAATAGTTGGTCTTCATTTTATTCTAGGAGCTTCTGTAGGTGATATTGTATACAAGCAGTGTTTAGGAAATCATAGAAATAACAGCCTTAAGCCCTGTTGCAGAACTTGTGATCCTTAAATATTAAGTTATTTTCTCTATATGGGGCTATGATGGCTATACTGCAACATGCAATATTTGCTTCTGTACTTAAGAAACTGTATTAAAACTGTTTCCACTTGTTTGGAGCAGAGCACTTCGTTATTAAGAACTTTCTGCTGTTTTTTCCGGGACAGTGCCTTTTAGAGGAATGGACCTGAGAGTAGGCTGACTTGGGCGTAGTATTCATTGCCCTCAAGAGGAGTTTAATAACATAGAAAACATGTTGATACTGTAAACAACCATATAAAAGAGATTTTCTGTATGATTTCTTAAATTCGAATGAGTACACCAGCTCTGGAGCTGTAATAGTTTATAAATGCAAGACCTGCCACAGCACATTTCTATTTCAGTGTCTTAAATTTCTAGAAACATTGATAGAACAATATTAATAATAATGGAGTCAAGACATTTTAGGAGAGGGTTTTATGTCATTAAAAAAATGTATATTTTTACTTCCAAAAGTTAATAATAATAATAAGTTCCTATTTGAACAGATTCTAACATGAGGACTTTTCTTTAATTTTTTTTTCTTTTTTATGACAAAAAAAGACTTTACTTTTCAGCATCTATTTTGGAGTTAGGGCTTTGATTTTGTTCTTTATGGGGTGGAGCTGAAGCAGGGTTTGTATACATTAACGGAAAATTATCCAAGCTTCTGCTAACAGTGGGAAACATGGCAATAAAATGAAATATAGCAACAGATAAAATATGAATGTTAACCCTAGGGATTCTTGCATTTTTAATCTGGTTTTGTTCTATACATAGACTCTGTCCTTTTTGGGTTTTGTTTCCATATTCCTGTGAAAATTAATCCTTGTATATATGCACAAATATGTGGGGGTTTTTTTACCCTTCTGGATACAGATATAGAAAGATAAAAAATTATGACCTAATAACTATGTGCATGACCTTGTTTACTGCCCTAATGAAATGAGCATCAGTGACTTACTAAAAACAGTAATACATCATGATACCCTAATACATGTGGATACACTGCTCTATTGCTACAGTCAATAAAACACCAAGAGCTAAAACTATGTATGCTCTCCCGTATGTCTTGCAGAGCTTGTGGTTGGGTTGTACTGATTTTCTGTGGAAAATGGGGTTCTTATTATTGTAACCCCTTATTTTCTGGGGAAAATGTTACTGTAGGAACAAAACAGCATACAAGGTCTTGTGAAAGTTGTTTAAATGGACAAAATGTGTCTGTTACAGAAGATGTTAAAGCAAACCAAACAGAGGTTTTTACAATTAAGCGGCCTGCATGTCATATGCTGCTCATAAATGAGTATTATTATAAAGGGATTTTTTATATTATTACAACAGATGAGTGGCTGCTAGACAGTAATTAGTGAATGACTTCAAGAGTAAAGGTTTGTTTGTGTTGCCCATTCAGATTTTTCATACAATACTGTTGACATCATTCTAAGTTAATCTTTTTGGTCAGCAATAGGTTCACCTTTATGTGCATTAGGCTGTGGAGTTAGATTTGTGGTAACTAGTTTATAGTTTTTTTACTTTCTGACCATCTGATACCTGCATCCAGCCACTTTCAGTCTTCTCTTGTACAGAGATTTCAAGGCAATCTACAATAATCTGGTATTTCATGTCTGTTAAATTTCAGACACATTTCAGTGCCATAGTACTTCAGTCTCCTGTAAGAATCACAGCTGTGAGGCTACTAAGGGAATTCTGACCATGGTGAAATGCTTGCAACAGGGGTACAGAAATAACTCCCTCCAGCAAGAATGCCTGCCATTTGTTTTTATTCAGGTACAGGAACTGCTGGTGCACTGCTGTCTCATAGTGCACCACTTGTGTCCTACTGTACAGTCAGTAGTTACTTTAAACTCTTAACTAGTAAACCTGAAATACTAACTAGCACATCTGAGAAACAGCACAAGGGGAAGTTCTACTGTGTGTCTACCTTAAGAATGCCGCTGTCTATCACCAGATACGAACCTAAGAAAAACAAAAATAATTTATGAAGTGACCTAGCAAGATACTGAGACCCACTTGTTTTTGCGGAAATGGAGGACTCTGCGTCAGTGCCCAGGGCACTAAAAAAGCTTTGCCTAAAGACAGAAAAGAAAGTGATTCTTTGCCACATTTTATAATTAAAATAGCGTTGTTGTATATGCTGCTAATATGGTTGTAGTGTGGAACGTAGCAAGGAACAAGGTATGCTGTTACTATCCATGAATATTCTGCAGTTTCATTTGAAGAAGAAACAGCTACAAAAGTGAAACATAGGCTCTAATATAGTCAGTGGGGAACATTTCTGTAAACACCAGGACTTTTTGCATTAGGCAGTGCCTAAGTTATAACTTCAAAAATTCCTCTGAAACATGTCAAGTTATAATGTGAGTGAATGTACCAGGCAGAAAAAATGTTGACTTTACAGAGAAAAACCTTTGAGGGTAATAAAATCAGGATAATGGGCCCTGAATGGCAAAAAGAATGGCATAGTATGTGAGCATGTGGTGTCTTAAAATGTTGTCCTTCATAAAAGAGAGGTTTTTGAAGAAAAAATGAACACTTCAGATAAGTCAGGAGGGTGTTACTTGTCAGATGGGAGGTAACTCATTTCAGTTGATGTGGTTATGGTATTTAAGCTTGTCAGTTGGTGAGGAAGAAGTGGCAGATTGCAAGGGCATTCCTTGAACTGTATCAGTCCAAGCCGTTCTGCAACAGGCATTTCCTGGGTTACAGTTTGTTTTCTCACTGAGTCACTAATTGTTTCAATAATTTCTTTGTTTTGCTTTCTTTTAGATAACTGTAGTGACTTGAATTCTGAACTCCAAAGAGTGCTGACAGGTCTGGAAAATGTTGTCTGCGGAAGGAAGAAAAGCAGCTGCAGTTTATCGGTAGCAGAAGTGGATAGACATATTGAACAACTCACTACCGCCAGTGAACATTGTGATTTAGCCATTAAGGTAACAGTAGCATGAAGCTCTAAATGCAGTGTGTACATTGCCTGAGACACCTGATCTCATTCTTTAGTGATAGCACTTTACTTCCAAAGGTGTCAAAGTTCTTCACAGAAATCAACTCCAGCCCACGGTGTGAGCAGTAGTACACCTGTTTTAGACTGATTTCTCCAAGGCTCAGGAGGAGCTTTTGATCTCAAATAAGAAATGTATTGTGCTTATGCTCATTTCAGAGATAAGAGAAGTGGGGGATACTCCGCAGTTAATATGCTTTCTGAAGGTTATCCATCAAACAAGTTGGCACTTGCTGAGGGTCACACAGCTAGTCATTGACTGGTAACTGAAAACACAATATGTAATACTGAAATTTGAAGTTGAAATGCCATAAACTGTGCATAAGTTGTGACTTTACATCTTAAATTATGAAGCTACTATTTAACACAAATCATGTGTTGTACATTAATTCTAATGAGATAAGCCAGATACAGGAACAGATAATTCAACTGATACTTGTATGTCTTGGTTTTATTGTGCATCTAACAGAACAAGAAGAGGGTTGTCTGATAGCACAGGTAATGAAGGGGTTGCAATTCACAACCTGAGAGTGGGGGAACCATAGAATATCTTACTATATACAGGGAAAGGGCTGACCAAGTTTTTTGTCAGATGGAAAGGCACCAGTGATTCATTTATCTAAGAACAAATATATTGACAGAGAGCAGTGGGGAGCTCTTTGACCATTCTAGATGGCTTAGGCAGCCCTTTGGCATACTACGGGGAGAGGTCTGCTCTGTCCCTGGTGATGCCTGAGGAATATAATGGCCTATAAATTAATGTTGAATAGTAGTTTGAACAGTGTGGGTATATTTGAAAGAGAGAGAGAGAGAGAGAGAGAGAGAGACACTGACTTTTGGGTCTCTTGAGAATGGTCTTAAACCAGTTTAATTGAGCATCTCAAAGGATTAGGATCAATACTTTGAATTTACCCAGTCTTATGTGGAGTTTTAGGGCTGTTCTCAGAAGTCAGTAGTGGATCCTGGAAAACAGATGTGAGTTCCACAGAGGTCTCTGAAGTGAGGTGAGATGAAAACTTCTGCAGGAGGTGGATTCAACAAAATGTCAAAATAGCTGCCATAATCTTAATTCTCAAGCTTTTTATTTTAACCCTGGTATTTACTGTTGGTGCAAATTAACCACAATCAGACTTTTATAATGGTAAGTAACTTGTCACCAACTTATTCCTGGTCCAAAACGCAGACCTTTTATTTTCATGTGATCTCTGCATGCATAGCCATTTTTGGAGAAGGCTTCTCCCCACTGCTTGTGATGTAAAGCCTGGGATTGTTTGTGTTTGACAAGTGATAGCATACTAGGGTTATTAACCATTCAGGAAGATAGGAATCTCTTGGCATGCTCTGATTATGTGCTAGCGAAGTGTGTCACCAATGTGTTTAATATAGAAAAATGTACACGTAGAGCCTCTCTCCACAATTCCACCCATGGCTGCAGGTCATTTCTCCTTTCCTGCTTCCTCAGACTGAGAACTGAGAGATTTAAAACAGGTGGAATCATGAACGAAAAGCTGAAATATTCTGTCTTTTGCTTTGACTGTTGGATTTTTCTTCACCCATAGACTAATTTAAATGTTTTGAATGCTTCTGCTTTGATGGTTAGATTTCACTGGGTTTCATGTAACACTGTTGCCGGTAATTTTTTTTTCCTTCTTTTACACAAATCATGTGCCCCTGGCTAGCACAGTTGTTTCTGACCAACAAAGAATGAAAAAACCTTGAAATGAGATTATCAGATTGTTTGAACAGTTAGAAAACTGTACTTTGTTTAAGAAAATTTCCACAAAGTAGGCTGGTTAAGGCTTTGTATATTTTGAAGAGTCAATGACTATCAGTAGCAGCTACCTACTGCTAAAACTCTACTAATTTAAAAAAGATACAGGAACCATTTAGAACATGAGAACAGCTGCACTGGATTGGACCAGAATTCTGTCTGCCTAGTGACAGATGCCAGTGGAAAGACCACATCAAAAAAAACATGCATAGTATGTCCTCCTCCTTCCTTTAAAGATGCTTCCCACAAGGTGGGTCTAGGAACTTCTTGAGCCAGAAATGATGCTTAATAGTACTGAGTGGAATTTTCTTTCATGTTTGTATCTAATGTGTTTTTAACTCGTCTAATATTTTGGCCTCCATAAATTCTGGTAGGAATCACTTATACCATTGAGTTATGCCTTGTGAAAAAGTGCAGCTTTTTGCTTCTTTTAAACCTGATATTTGCAGATTTCATCTGATATCATATCTGTAACATGACACCTCTTGGAAGGAAACTAAAGTAGAAAGTAGTGATAGCAGTGTCAGAGACAAGACTGAAATTACTATGATATGACATCCAGCCCTGTGCTTGGAACATGACATTGTAATTCAATCCTGTAATCCATGAAATTATACCTGAGTTTATCTGCTGTGCAGCAGCATGCCAGATAAAACTGCTCTGTAATACTGCTTTGAAGAAAAACAAGGGACTTGGTAGTTTACATAGATATATCCATGTACGATATTTATGTTTTATTTACCATGGAGAATGGTAGCATGTTGGTCATCAAACCGAAGAATTGTGACAATAGCTTGGTCAGCAAAAGGGTATCTATCACATCAAAATGAAGAGCATAGAAGCAAGCAGAAAGGTCCCTCAGCTCATTTAAGGACTGTAGGACAGCCCTTGGTATGACTGTCAGACCCATGCTGATGCTGTCACTGCCTGAATTTTGCATTTGTGTGGGCAGATGGTAGCAATGGAGTCTGGAGAAACAGCAGCAGCCTCTCTGTCTGAAGATACCTCTGTGGTGTTGAGCCACTGCTCCTGCTTTCTCATGACAGTCCTTCCTCTTTCAATGTTGTTCCAGATTTATCACCCCCAGTAGTGCTTTGAGGAGGAGAGGAGGCTGAAGAAAGGGAGGGGTTGGAAGAGCAACACCAGGAGCATAGGGAATATAAAAGAAGGAGGCAGCGCAGAACTTGGCATTAGAGGGGTGAGGAAGCAGCAGACCAAGTGTCTGAAAGATGAGAGGAGTTTTGGGGCAAGAAGGGAGAGAAGAAGACAGCAACAAAGAGGGACTGTTTAAAATAAAGCTGGCTTCATCAAGAGAGAATGCTCTTGCCATTACAGAGCTTTTCTTCACATTCTAAGATTAGCCGCTCTATGCTTATTCAGCGTTTGAACTTATTCTCAGGTTGTGTTGAAATAAATTACCATGTCATCTTTTGAGACTTGTAGGTCCAGGTAAAATTAATGTGAGGGAGAACTGTGGTTTCTTTCAATTTACAGAGATGTTGCGAGGCATTGCTCTTTTAAAAAAGTTATTCAAGCTTACTACGAAATATGTAAACAGAATTGTAGTGTAGATACTCTGTCAATGGAGTTTCATCCACTGAAAGCTGCTGAATATCCTTCATGCTGAATGGTGCCTGCAAGGCACAGTTCTGAGCAAAGGGATAGGGCAGGAAATGCTGAATGGCTTTATATGTCCCAGAGAAACCCAGCCTTTTTGAGGCACTAGAGAGGTTGTAACATCTTTTTGTATAATGTAAGCCTAGCCAAGGCCAGTTTTCTTTCTTTTATCTCTCTATCCTCTCTAGGAAAGAACATGCTCAGGGGATATGAGAGAGTCCTGGTTTTTCACTGTCCCACTCTTGGCCTTTTGTGGAGTTGGTCTAGAACTTAAGAAAGGTCCCATGTCATGCACATTCACAGACTGCTACTTTCTGCCTGTTGCTCAGGCAGGGAAACAACGAGCATAGTGATCACCCATGCCAAGAAGTCATTAATTTGTTTTAAACTGTTCTGAGATTAAAGTACTTGAATTGCTGTCACTCATGGTGACGTATGTTTTATCAGCATATAAAACATCCATTTGCTTTGGTGTTGGTCAGTATGAAATACTTTGATAAAATGGACAAACTATCAAACAAAATAAGCAATAATTTTTGTTTAGGGTTTTTTTTTGATACTACTTTGATATTGGTTGATATTGTTGATGATGATTGGTGTTGTGGGCCTGGGTATGTGCATATAAGTGTATATATAGTTGCCTGTTACACTCTTCTGTCCTGTGACCATTAGTCTTGTTCAATTGTCTTTTTCTTCTTCTTTCTGTTTTTTGATGACTGTATTTTTGCAGACTGTAGAAGAGATTGAGGGTGTACTGGGACGTGACCTTTATCCAAATCTATCTGAAGAGAGATCTCGATGGGAAAAGGAGCTAGCTGGCTTGCGGGAAGAGAATGAGAGCCTCACAGCCATGCTATGTAGCAAAGAGGAGGAGCTGAACAGGACCAAGGCTACCATGAATGCTATTCGTGAAGAAAGGGACAGACTGCGTAGAAGGGTAAGGCTTCTGCATAGGTGATGTTTCTTGTTCCTCCTAGCCTGTATAATTTTGTCACCAGAAGAGACTTCTCTTTAATCTCACTTCCTGTACTGTCTGTAGGGCTTTTTGTTTTTAAAGATGAGCTTTAAAATTACAGAACTAGAACAAAACTGAACGTAATTGGAAAAGAGTGTGTGATGTACATCTGAGGTGTACAACAACCTGATGTCAAAAATCATGTGTTAACAAAAAAACTGATACTCATCTCCAAGGAAGCTTATCTAACTTGTCTATAGAAAAAGCATATGTTAATTTAGTGTATTTTCCTGTGAGGCATTTTTTTTCCTGTAAACAACAAATATTTATTTGTTTTTGATGGGAATTCAGTTTATGATCAGGAGAAAGAAAAAGAGCAGGACTCCTGTCATTGGGTAATAATTCTCAGAAATGAGTAGTCCCAGCCATGTCCCACTTCCCTGTACATTTTATGATGCTTGAAGGTCATATAAAGGCATTCTGCTTTGTGTGGAGTCCAAAGTAAAAAAAAAAAATGGAAATTTGTTCATAAAAAAGATGAAAGACCCAGAAAACGTGACCTGAATTTCTGTTACATTTTAAAGTGTGTTAACTTTGTCACTGTTAAATCTGCAGGTTTGGCTAGATACAAAATAATTTTGTTTTTAAAACAGGCAGTTTCAAGTTTGTCTTCAATTTGAGTGACAATTTAGACAAGTGTATCTTGGTAAAACTATTGGAAGTGTTGCTCTCTACCTACTGGCAGCAGATCAACCTTTTATGCAAATACTGTGTTTCTGTAACAACATTGTTCTTTAGTGACTGTATCATTTTATCATGAAGCTGCATTGTGTAAGACTTCTGATCTTCAGATATCAAACCACCAATTACCTTTGCAAAACTCTTTAGCCTCTCTTAACACTTTGAAAAGGTGTGTGTGATGAGGGAAGAATAGTAAGCTGCTATCATATAAAACAAGATGACAACTTTTTCTGTGTAAAATTTAGCTTTATTATATAACATAAGTGTAAGTCATTTTCAGTCCTGAAGTTTTTGGACTGCTTTTATAGTGACACTCCTTTTAAAAAAGAGTCATTACTGCCCCTTGAACTACAGAAGTAGCATTTATGCCCCTGGTGAATTATTGCAGGATTGGGGCAGGGCAGGGGTCAAGAAGTCAGAGAATAGAAGGATGTACTTGTGAAATTTTCTTGCACAAATGCAGATGTTGACACTACAGATGATACAGATTATTATTGGCATGTCAAATGCAAAAAAAAGTAGATGGTATTGAGGATAGAATTAAAAGATATTTAAATTTTGAGAAGTACAAAATGCAAGTTAAGGTGCTTAAAGGATTGGTAGTTAAAAACACAAAAGGGGAAAGAATTGGTGTTTGTACTCTCAGGGATCAGCATGAATAGAATGTTGATGCTTGGTCACAAATTCAGTCCTATGATTTACCAGATTAATTATTTCCAGCAGAGATTGGAAAGACTGTATAAAGACTGGTGAAATCTCATCTGGAATGTTATATGTAGTTCTTGCCTCTATCCCTTGAAAAGGTTTGGTTTAAACAGGCAAAAAAATATTTAGAAGATGGTCAGATAAATGGGCAGCATTGGAGAAGTGACTTGAAGAGATTGTCCTGTTCAGCTTGCAGAGCAAAATCTGAATTTGATGTCTCTTTACAAGTGCTGGGGAAAGCATATAAGAATAGGAGCTAATGGCTGTTCAAATTTAGGGACAAAACTGGAGCAAAAACAGATTAATATAAACCACCCGTGGCTGTATTAAGCTAGAAATTAGACTGTGAGGTGTCTTAACAGACTAGAGGATTGAGGTTGTGAAGAAACAGTAAGGAGTAAGGCTTAACTAACTTATTTGAAAATGGAGCTTTGAAATATTAGTTACGTTTGTATAACGTATGACTATGCAGGGATACCTATTAAAATGGGGATCATTACATTAGAATTGTACCCACAGGAAAGCTAAAAGCTAAAAAGCCAACTTTTATTTGGCCCAGCTAATCCAACTGCATCAATTCCAGAGCTAGCCTTAGCATCTCTGCACAAAACTGTTGTTTTGTTTGGCTAACAGCAGTAGCAGAGGGTTGGATTAGATGAGGAGGGAAATGTTGTTTAGTTCTGTGTATGTGAGTACTGCTTGACTTGATCAGTCTGTATTGGAATCTGCAGTGAACCAAACATTTGTGGAGCCACACAAGTACTAGCTGATGCTACTGAGTATTTCACAATTTGCTTAGTATAGGCAGGGCTGTGATCTTCAATAATATCATGTTAATCATGCTGATTTAGTAGTTTCTGGCCTGTCTACTGTAACTGTTAGCAGGGGTGCTGCATGTGTTACTGATGTGTCTCTGTTATGGAAGCATCTCTAGTGGAAACAGAATTGAGATCGTCAGCTTGTTTCATGTAAGTGGCTAGAGCAATTGTTGGATGATAGCAGCAGTGGGATATTACTGACCTGAATTGTGTTCAGACAACTGACAGGGACCAGTGGACGTGGTAAGCCTTGAATTACTCTGTAGAGTCTAGAGCAAGTCAGTTTAAATGTTCATTCTTCTTTAATTAAGGAAATTCTTTTCAGACAGATGTCTTGCCCAGTAGACAAAGGGTTAATGCTGGATTGGCACAAGGCATAACAAAATCAAGCAGCCTCTATATTTAGACACAGCTAGCAGGGGTTTTTTTCAGTTGCTTTCATTTGGTTTCCACTTATGGAGGCCTTTATTGAAATATGTTTTTTAATATCATCCTGAACTTGCAGAACAACAGGTTTATTGAGCCCACCAGAAAATTTTGTTTATGGGATATGACCCTGTCAGCAACACTATGCAGCTGTTGCACTGGAAACCATATCTGCATTTTTAATGTACTGTTCTGTCCATAGTTGCAACAAAACTAATGTTTTCTTTGACCTATTAAGTATTTTCTGTATGCCACCTGAAGCCAGAGTTACTTCAGATTATTTCCCTGGAGAGCAAGGAAGGCCATCCAACTAAAATTTAGTTATTGTTCTTTGAAATTAGATTGGATGAAGTGGGTAAGCTTGAAGTTGACCAGATCAGTAGGCCTGTTACTTTAGACCAATGTCTGTAATCAAGCAGAGTGCTTTCAATACATTTTTCTCAGGCTTGTTGAAGATTTAATTTAATTAGGTATTTACTGTGCTCAGTTAGGAGTAGCTAGAACAGTAGCTAAGAAACAGTATACATATGGAGTTTGTTTCTCATGGATCATTAGTAAATGAGGTAATCACTTATTTCTCTAGGGTGCTTGCAGTGTAACAGCAAATTTCATAATGCAGAGGTTTTACCTCTGCATGATATTGCCATATCAAAAATAGAATCTAAATCTATTGAAGTCTGGGCCAGCCAGTGCCTTAGAAACTACTTGCACATAGCTGACCATAATCCTCAATACAGTGATACAGATAAGATGCTGGGGAACTTCTTTACCAGTTCATGTTTTTTTTTAATTACTGCCCATGAAAGTTGCCACATGAGAGTGCCTCAGCACAGTACCAAGCAGCTGGTTGGCATAAGAAACAGTGGGTGTGGGCCGTGTTCAGGCTTCCCTGAGGCTGTTCTTCAACATGAAGTCTAAAGCAAAAAGGTGGTTTCCAGCTCTAGAAGTCTGTTAAGTCTGTTGTCTGCATAAGCCATATGTCAACTTCTTAAGTTAATCAAATGCTTCTGGTTGTGAGAATTATTCTGTATCTGCTCCAAACTCAGATGAATTCACCAGACTGACCAGAACAAAAGCAGACAGTATTTTAGCTATGTTAGATTTAAGACATCCATGAAAACATAACCTGCAGAGAAGTAGAAAAGTGCCATTTTAATGCGTGATCCATTTAGCTGCCCAGATTGCTCCCACTCCAAGAAACTTAATTTTAGCATGAGGGCTCTCCCAAAATACCTTGTTCTTTCAAAGAGTTGAAACCTACCCAGACCTCAGCAGGAATCAGATCTGTGGCCTTGCAGACATTCTTGAGGCCACACTGTTCTCAGATGACACAAAGCTGGCACAAGCTGCTTGGCTGTCTGTTTTGATATCATTTGTGTTGGGATCAGAAGTTACTGTTCCAGATTGCTATAGAACACTGATAAATTATGGCCCTTTAGAGATTATTATCAACTTGGCCATCTTAAAGGGATGCTTGAACTGTTCTGTCTCCTTGTCTCTTGGAGTGCACCAGAAACCTGAGATAGCCGCCAAAAGCTATTTCCATTCTCCACCTCCACAGTTGTATGGTATTTGCTTATGCAGCAGTATCTCTTCTTATGAAAGAACTAGAGCTTTGCTTCTGTTTCCAAGCTTGTATGCAAATTAAATCAGAAAAAGTCTGAAATAGGCTTATTGCTCTCACTTGTGTTTGTTTCTGCTGTGTGCTAGCCTGGATCAGAACATTTCAGTTGTGCTTGGGAGTTTTTAGGAAAATCCACCCTTCACCTCCCATGTCACATCCTGCCACATCCTTGGCTTTCATTGCTTTTCATGCTTTACAGAGGTGCAGCACCCAAATCTTTCCACATGGAGCATTGCACGAGGGACTTTTGTCTGAAAGGTGCCATAAAAAGAGTTCTTCCTTGGTAACATGTATGTATCACCCAGTGCACTGTAGTCTCTCCTGCTGCTTAAAAAAGCTGTATGTATAAACCCTATGGAATACCTGTTCTGCTGTAGCTTGTGGTATCTGTGTGTTGTTCCCTTTCTTTGTTCCTCAAATTGTTCAAACTGCAGATTGGTTTTCAGATCTGCCATAGGAGTAGCACTCCTAGTGACAGATAAGTTCTTACATATTTCTTGAAAGCAGACATCTTTGCAGAGGAGAGATTCTGTAAATGCTTCCATTGAGCTGATGAGTGCAGGTTTAAGCTTATTCAGCTCCAGAGTATTTACTGAGGGGATGGCCCTTACAAATACCAGGAAAGATTTCTTTACAGTATTTAGCCAACCACAACACACAACCTGTAGGAAATCAAACCTTGTTAGCTCTGGTGCTCACAATTTAAGAGGGACTGAAAATAATCATCAGTGGTCTGACTGAAAGGTTAGGAGTGCTTTAGGCTGGTAAGGGCCCTCATCACTCAGAGCAGCTTGAATTATCAACACTGGTCTTCCATTTTCCATGTTCCCCTCCACAGATCTGTAATACACATGAATAAATTAGAAGGTGGGAGAAGTGTTTTCACTTCCTGTGGTTTGTTGTACTTCATCTTCCTCCTCTGTGTAACAGGGGAGAAAAATTGAAGTATTAAAATGCTGGGGGAAAAATTTTTGTTACTTGAAGGGGTCAAGATACAGAATGATGTAACAGGTCTCAAGTAAGGTAGAAAGGAAAGTATCACAGGCATGTCCCTTACCTGAAACTGTCTTAGGAACAAAAGTGGCAGGTGTGCTTTGATTGTGAAAATCAGTGACAAAAATAGGCAGTTTGTAGCTGTGTTTTTTTTATTTAGGATATGTTAACAAATCATGTAGTTGTGAGCATGCGTGTGTAAAATCAAAGAATAAAAAAGTATTTCTTAGATTAATGATCATAGATAACAAGCATATTCCATTGAAGTATTTTCTGTGACCCACTATGCATTTCTGCAAACACGTCCATGGTGCCTGTTAATCCCTTGTGAAGTCTTTCATAAATCCAACATTACTGTAGTGTGTCAGCCCCTTTGCTACCCTTGTTGTCTTTTTATTTAGTTCTTAAGGTACCCATGAGAAATTATGTATTATTTTTCCTTATTTCCTACTCCAATGCTTAGGATTCAAAGGAATACAATAAAAATGCAGCTAAACAATTGGTTCATACTCTAAACAGTAAATATTAATAAATAAAATTTCCAGTTACTTCAGTTTATATTAACAACTTGTCAGGTTGCATTGTTCACACAATGTCTGTTTGCAGCTGACTTATCTTGGAGTCTAGGCTATCTATCCATTGCTCTGAAGTGTAATGGCTCTGATACCTTGTGTCTGTCTTAATGCTCCTTGTCTTGCTAAGGTTCCAGCACTTCTTTACTTCTGTAACTCTTTGGACTTCCTCCAGCTGTCTAGAAGATCTTTGCTCTTTCTTTTTTTTAATTGTGGATTTCACAGATACTTCCCTGTCTTTCTCTTTTTTCTCCTCTGTTCTCACCTCCCTTTTTATTTTTTCTGATCATATATGTCATTGGATCTGCCTGTCAGCCACTTTTAATCTCAATTTAGAGTTTTAGGACTTCATGATAATTTTTATATCCTTCTGGATGTTTCCATCTTTAAACTGTTAGGGTGCAAGGGCTGAAGAAACCTTTCCTTAAATACTTGTTATTCCTTCCTAACTCACAAATCCACGCTTCCCTGTCTTTCAGTGGAACTTTTTTTGTTTTGTTTCTTTACTTGTCTTTACCCATTGGATTTTGCCAATTTTGCCATCAGTTTCCTGTAAGATCTGCCCTTCCTCTCTCTCCCATTTCCAAGTGTTTATTGTGTCTCATGTGCAATATTGCAGTTACCTTAATTCTACTGATAAATGTAACCTTCAGAATAATTAGTATTACACTGGTAACAACTCGTAAGACTGGTAAAAGTATTGAGCAAGGGTGGTCAGATAATTTTTCATCATGCCTCTTAAACTAGTCATAACTCATGTGTTCACCAACCCAGAGAAGAAACTGGCTCTTCTGAACATTTTTTTTTCCTTGATTTCTGTTCTTTAGTCTTCCTTTTTCCTGTAGAATTTCTACTAGTGTGGAAAAGTACTTTCTGAGGAGTGCATACTGCTTTATTTACAGTGGAGGTTTTGGTGACCAGAAATAGTTACCTAAGGTGTCTCTGGGCAGTCTGGTGGGTGGGCAGCTCAGTCATGAGATTCTGGCTTGGTGAATGTGTGAACTGTGATACCAGTGCTTTTACAGGTCAGACAAACTTACCCTGTTACCCTACTCAGAATTACCACCCAGTACTCAGCGTTTCTAGAGTTTGTGCAGTTATTTATAGCAATTAATTCAGCATGTAATTTCCCAACTGTAGGCCTGAATCAGTAAATACATTAAGAAGCACGAATAAACAGGCAGTTTCTTTAAGTTGTGGTTGCTTCTGTGATGCAGTATTAAAGCAGTGACTTGCACAGATTGGTAACTGTGCTGTGCTCAGAATTTTCTGTTATAAATGCTTTCTTGAGCAAAGCTTTGCCTGGCTGTGGTCTTAGCTGTGTTCATTTTTCTTTCTGTTGCTAATGTTGTTTTACAGATCCTTAAGAATAATTGGCTTCGTAAGCATAGTCAATAGTTGCTGCTTAGTAGTGAAACATAGACTGAACAAAACCTATCTGCATTAAAGTTTTATATAATATTTCCCTTCCATAACGTGGTTTTAAACTTTGGAGTCAATACATGCTTAGCATTTTAAGCAGCTTTAACATTCTGTTTCCTGGTTGCCCTGAAATTTTCCAGGACAAGCTTCTGGGCATAGGTGAATATTTTAGCAATTTTTAAAGTCAGACGTTGAGGCAGGGATTTGATTTTATGAAGAAGACATCCACAGTCATTTTCCTGATTATTTGCTTTTAAACCATGCTGTAAC